ATCCTGAGGTTCATCTGCCGGGGCCAAGCACGCTTGGACGGTGGCAGCGAGGTCCTCAGGACGTAGATGGATTGCCTTACGGGCTAACGAGCTCCATCTGCCCGGGGAGGGGCCCCGACCGGGAATCGAACCCGGGTCTCTGCAGTGACAGTGCAGTGTCTTTTCCCCTAGACCACCGGGGGCTCCCTAAAAAAAAAAAAAAAAGACAATTAAAACGTTTTTACAAATACATAAGTAATAAAAGGAGGGCTAAGGAGAATATTCATCTTTTTTTTGGATGCAGGGAGAAACATAATGACAAAGGATGAGGAAAAGACTGAGGTACTTAATGCTTTCTTTGCCTCAGTCTTTGATAGTAAGACTGGTTGTTTTCCAGGTACCCAGCCCCCTGACCTGCAAGAAAGGAAGGACAATGAAGCCCCTATAAGCCAAGAGGAAATAGTAAGTGACCTGCTACACCACTTAGACACGTACAGGTCTATGAGGCCAGATGGGATCCACCCAAGGGTACTGAGGAAGCCACTTTCAACCATTTACCAGCAGTCCTGGCTATCTGGGGAGGTCCCAGTTGACTAGAAGTTAGCAAATCATAGAATCATTAAGGTTGGAGAAGACCTCCAAGATCAGGTCCAACCTTTGGACTAATATCACGATGCCCACTAAACCATATCGTGAACTGACATGCCCAATCATTTTTTGAACACTTCCAGGGATAGTGACTCCACCACTTCCCTGGAGAGCCTGTTCCAATGCTTAACCACTCCTTCAATGAAGAAATTTTTCCTAATATCCTACCTGGACCTCCCCTGGTGCAACTTGAGGCCATTTCCCCTTGTCGTATCGCTAGTTGCCTGGGAGAAGAGACTGACACCCACTTTGCCACAACCCCCTTTCAGGTAGTTGTAGAGGGCAATAAGGTCTCCCTTGAGCCTCCTTTTCTCCAGGCCAAACAACCCCAGCTCCCTGAGCTGCTCCTTGTAGGACTTATGTTACAGACCCTCCACCAGTTTTGTTGCCCTTCTCTGGACATGCTCCAGCAATTCAATGTCCTTCTTGTAGTGAGGGGCCCAAAACTGAACACAGGATTTGAGGTGCAGCATCACCAGTGCCAAGGGGAACAATCACTTCCCTAGTCCTGCTATCCACACTATTTCTGACACAAGCCAGGATGCCATTGGCCTTCCAGTCTCCCGTGGCAGGTAGGCAGCATACGGTGGCGGAGAAAAGGTGAGGGGAGGTGAGCAGAGACTCCTGGGGCAACCAGTTCTTTCTCCCTTTCCTCTTCGCTGATTTTCCAAAATTTGTCCTCAAGTTTTATAGTGTTCTGTCAGTTCTGATTTCAGCAAGGAATTTTTCTTTCCCTTCCCCCCTGTGTGTGTTCTCTGTGGATGAGCCATCAGGTGAACAAAAGAATCGGCCTGGTCACTAATGGCTGAGAGATTAGTCTCCTAGCCATGAAGGGGGAGGAGTTGGGGAGGGCTACTGGGGTGTGTGACTGGAAGGGGGTGGAGGCTGGGGGGGGAGCTCAGTCTCTCTGCCCGGAGGGGAGCTGCTGCAGGCTGCAGACACTGCTGGGTTTCTTTGTCTCTTTCCTGTCGGAGGGGAGTTTTTGCTGCTACTCTCAGGTTAGCTGTTGCTGGCTGCAGGCCCTGCTTACAACGGACCCTAATCAGTTGAAGTTCGTGAGTTTTCTTCCATTGGGAGAACTTTCTGTTTTATTGCTGTTGTTTTTCCTTCCCCTTCTCCCTCCCTCCCCCCACCTGGCGGCAATCAAGGATCTCACAGCGCTGCCTGGTGACGGGCACTGGACATTACAAGTTCTACTCCTCCAGTGACCCAACAGCGCCACCTGGTGAATGGTACAGGAAATTACAAATTTTGCATCTCCGGTGACCCGACGGCGCCCCCTGCTGACTGTGACTGGAACTGCACCAAAGGGTGCTAAAAATTGAACTATTTAAATTTTCCTTTTGCCGGTTTATCGGTTTTGTTCTTGAAGGGGATTATTGGTGGGTATAGGGGTATTGCTTGGTTGTTTTACTTGGGGTTTTTTCGTGTTCCTGTTAACACACACATACCTTTTAATAAAGGGCTGTTATTTTTTTGTTTTCCCTTTTCCATAATTTGTTTTCCTTCAATCAGTCTCTTAATTTCAGATTTATAATTGCTTAGAAAAAGAAGTTTGGATCTTTTCCTCTTAATCCATCCTCAGCAAAAGACCCTTGTCCCATTTAAACTGGGACATGTTCAAAGGAGGTTTCTTGGCACATAACCAGTTCAGATGTTCAAGGAGATATGATAACCATAAACAATGACAGGATCTTTTGGCAGGAAAAGTCCCATGGGAAGTCCTGGTAAGAATTTCTGGCAGAGAGCTGACAGAGAATTTTTGGTAGGAAGTTTTTGACGGGCAGAAACAATGGAGAAACATAATTTTTGGCATTTCTGTATTATCTGTGTGTTACACCCTCGATCATGAGCCCATCTGTACATTGAATCTCTTCCTAGATGTCCTGATGTTTCATGGACCCATCGGGCTATAAATAGTTCATCCTTCTGCTCCCAGTCCAAGTCTACCTGGGCTATTCCAATCTTGGCAGCCTTATCCACCTGCTCACTGTTCTGATGTTCTTCAGTGGCACGACCTTTAGACATGAGCATCAAAGTGACTCACTTTCAGAGTCGTGTTTTCCACCCGTGCAGCAATGTCCTTCCACAATGCAGCAGCCCAGATGGGTTTACCCCTGCGTTGCCAATTGGCCTTCTTCCATTGCTGTAACCACCCCCATAGGGCATTAGCCACTGTCCAGGAGTCAGTACAGAGGTATAGCACAGGTCACTTTTCTCATTTGGCAATCTTTAGGGCTAGTTGGATGGTTTTCTCTCC